CCTCATTATTCTACCTTAACACTAAAGTGTATTAACGTGGGAGCACTACACTAAACCTCCCACTGACAAAAGAATAAAAAAATATGCTATGTATATTTTTTTATCAATTTTTAAAATAGATCCTTAAGATTATTCTAAAAAAAGGTTATTATCATTATGAAAACTATAATCTAAGACATATCTAGCACGCAAAAATGCATAGTCACAGTAGTATAATTGACATAATCAGGCATAATTATGTATAACATAAAATTATGTTTTGATTTTCACGAAAATTTACAATATTATTTATTCGTATCCTTAATCATTTTGTTATTATGCCTACCATTTATCTAGTCAGAACAATAATGATAATATATATAAATTACGTGTCACGTAGTTTGTTCGCGATGGGCTCCGAAACTACTCAACCGATTTTAATAAAATTCGCACACCGTGCGCAGTTTGGTCCAGCTTGAGATATAGGATAGTTTTTTTTTGACCATGAGTGACTTACATATTTTTTGCAAATTTAAGGATTTTAATAGGCTATGGCAAAGGGTCATCGAAAAGAGCAGAACAACATCTGCCTGGCTAGTAGCTAGTACTTTAGCTATTCATTACACATGTATGTCATTTCTTTCACGTACACGGCTCGCGTATATACATGATCAAGAAAACAATACCATTTAATTCACTTCTTTACATTTCAGCTCATATAATTCATTATTTAATTGTACCATAACTTTCACGTACACGGCTCGCGTACATACATGATCAAGATAGTGGTCAATATTCCTACACAATTCATAATAAGTTATCATTTCCCTCATTAAAATACATTAAAACTTATTCCACATTTAATCGTGTCTGAACAACCTTCAAAAATTAATCGGCTATTAGGTTTTCCAAACTCTCAGCTGATCAGGCTGATTGTATGTGGATATACTAACCTGTGATAATTTTCTTTATCTTACTCTCGCAACTATACATTATCAATCTTTTCATTTATAATTATGTATTCCGTAACTTAACCATACATTTAATCACATCTTTTACTTTATATCATAAAATAATCTCGTATAATATTTAGTTACAGTATCAGTCAGGGATTGAGGTTCACAATATGGGAACAACAAACTTTAAATCAAATAGTTGTGTAAAACATTATATATGTAGTGAGTTTCAAAATCGTATTATCCGAAGAAAATACTTTCATAATCTACTCAAATTAGTACTGTTTTCCAAGAAAATAATAAATTATAATAGTTAAAAGCTTATGATTTAAATATTCAAACAATATAAAACAGAAAATAAATTATTACATTTCACATTAAGATAAACAGAACAAAGAAGTCAATGTTAAGCAACGTAATCATTATAATTAATATAGTAACACACAGATCAAAATACAAATTGTAATCCTAACACCCCAAATATTTGGAGATAAGTTTGTTTTAAATTCCAAAGTACGTATAAGGCATCGTTTGTAATTACATCGGACTAGGATGACACGGTGTGATTCACATCTAATTTTAAGATAACTTTTACAATATTTTATAATATGTATGCAAGTAAAATGTACCTTAAAAGGATAGTTTTAAACATTTCCTTAATTTGCACAGAAGTTTAGAAATAGTTACATTGTTAATATTTATGTTACTTTTACATACATCACAAAATGCATTAGCTTTTTTAAAAAAAATACTTTTGCTATAAAAAATGCTTTTTAAAAAAATCACTATAACAGCTATAAACTTCACACAACGATAGATTAATTTACTTAAACATTATAAAGAACAATTTTTAATATTTTGGGTAGGTTATTATATAAATTAATGATTTAATGCCTTTAGAAAAGAAAGAAAAAAAACAGTAATAGCAAATCGGTTATAACTCTTTTCAAAATTGTGTACATTTAAATAAAATTTACTACATAAAAAACACACACAAAATGTATCATCAGTGATATGTTAACTACAAAATATGAAAAATTAATTAATGATAAACAATTGTAAATGTAAATACGTAAAAATGTAATCTTCATATTATTTCATTCATGTTTTGCAGGACACAGTAATAAAAATAATATAAAACTATAACCGAATAAAATTGAATATAAAATCAAGTGCTAGATTATTGATTAATTTATAATTATTGCATTGTGCTTATTTTTTCAGTAATATAAATATTTAAAAAAAATACGTGTGGCACTCTGTGACTGCCGCGGTAAAGCTATTGCATAGCATTTTTTATCAACTTATGCAATTATAATTATTTATTAAGCTATTGCATAGCTTCTATCGCGGGTCTTGAGCGCGGGGACCGAATCCAGAAATTCCGTAACGAAAAAAAACCTCACGCTCCCCACCCCGACGGGCACGGAGATGTGGCGTTGAAAGCCGTGCATCGTCTAACGTCGTTTCAGTTCAGCAGACTTCGGCACTCGGCAGACTTCGGCACGGTGTTTGTGTGCGTGCGACTAGACGTATGCGTGTACACTAGCTGATAACTCAATGATAAAAATTCCTGAATAACCTACATGTATTGTAAGATATTAAAAATATTTTAAACAATATTAACTTCTCATTTATTCAATAAGAAAAAAAAATTGTTTTCTTATCGGTCACCACGCTCAAAAAGTGTAACTTGATTTAATATCAAAGACTTAACTGCGTAAATAAAATAAATAAATAATTATAATTGCATAAGTTGATACAAAATGCTATGCAATAGCTTTACCGCGGCAGTCACCGAGTGCCACACATATATTTTTTTATTTTATTTATGCAGTTAAGTCTTTGATATTAAATCAAGTTACACTTTTTGAGCGTGGTGACCGATAAGATAACAATTTTTTTTCTCTTATTGAATAAATGAGAAGTTAATATTTTTTAAAATATTTTATCTTACAATACATGTAGGTTATTCAGTAATTTTTATCATTGAGTTAGCAGCTAGTGTACACGCATACGTCTAGTCGCACGCACACAAACACCGTGCAGAACTCTGCCGAGTGCTGAAGTCTGCCGAACTAAAACGACGTTAGACGATGCACGGCTTTCAATGCCACACCTCCGTTCCCGTCGGAGTGGGGAGCGTGAGGTTTTTTTTCGTTACGGAATTTCTGGATTCGGTCCCCGCGCTCAAGGCCCGCGATAGAAGCTATGCAATAGCTTTAAAAACAATTAAATTGTGAATTATCTGATAAATACTCTAATCATATTTTAAATATAGAAAATTTTATGCATAACTATTTTTTAAAAGCAAAAACAATATTAAAAAATCTCAAATTATTAAAGTTTTAAATGGAATTAAAAATCACACAGGTGCGAATTTACCTCTTAAATTCTTCTTTATTCTTTTCGGCTCAATTTTCACATCCTTCTGGGTGATGCCCGCTAGAATACAACTACTTCTTTCCCTTTTTAAATTAATATGCCGTATCTTGAAATCCACATTTTATTTTCCTCATTCTTTGTTTACTAATTAATAAATTATTAATATTCATAGTTTGATTGTCTTCATAGTACTACATATATTTCAATTTTAATTTTGAGTTAACTTCTTTAAATTATTATTGTGGCCACTTCTCGTATCAGTTTTTGGTTTTCTTGTCACATCCGGTAGTATGTCAATTCAATAATTGAATATTTTATATTATTTCTTTATAAAAATAATATAATAAATTATATTAATTATAATATAAATTTATAAAAAATTGCAGGCCGCGGCGGTGCGCTGCGACAATGCACGCGCACCGCCTGGCAGGGTCGCCATGTAATATAGGGAAGGTGTCACTGAAGGAGACGTGTGGTTGATACTAAAACTTTAATTAGACTGCCTCATTATTCTACCTTAACACTAAAGTATATTAACGTGGGAGAACTACACTACAGAAAGATTGACAGATGACTTATTTCGGAGGATAGGAATTCATGTTAAAACCACACATCAGCTATGTGTTCTTTTATGATGTGAAGAATCCGGGAAAACCAGCCATCTCTGAACACGTAATAGAAGCCCCGTCACTACTTCAGATTTAATAGACTGCAAATACTCGCTAAAGAACACCGATTCCTTCCAAAGATGGCTGGGTGCTATCATCTGTTTTAGATCCTATGATTAATAAAATTAAATCATGACCTAAGCACACAGCTGCAAGACTTCGAGGTGCGATAAACTCGCTCTGCGTAGATGAGACCAAAATAAAATGATTTTAAACTAAAGGTAGCCGTGATTAACTATGGCGTTGGGACGTCGAACACCTCAACTCTACCGTGACCATGGGTGCTATAAAGTACTCGAAATGTGGAGAATATACAAAATAAGTTAACATACGCGATAAAATTCGTAAAAGCTGGTTTTATTTAAATGCTCAAGGTACTATAATAATAACGACCTAATAAATAGGGTAATAAATAGGTAACTTAATGTTGACGTGAAAACGCTACGATGTACATACTTTTATATTAAAATGAAGCATTTCTCTTTAATTTCAAAGTCCTAACCCAAAGTATATATATTTCAATATATTCTTATCCTACTATTACTTAATTCCCATCTTCAACTCAAAAAGAATGAAACGCAAGTATCTACCGATGGCAGCACAGCACCAGCGCCACGCAAGACAACGCGATGCGTATGGCCAACACGCTCCATAAAATAAATAATTAAAATAATAATTTCACTTTAAACTCAACGAATTTAAAGTAAAATTGAATCAGAAAGTCATAAGAAGGAAACTAGTTAAATAAAAACTTTTAAAAGTATCATTTTATGCTTAGTTTGAGTAATTAATTAAATAGTTATGCTAACACCATTGCTGGGATTCTTTAATACATACAAATAAAACAAACTATTAAAATATGCCAAAAGTAGCAACCATATAATTATGTAATATTAATCTTCAGAATTAAAAAAGAATCATAATTAACACTACAGACACATATAATATAATCACAAAACATCATTTCTAAAAATGCCCTTAAATTTCCAAAAACTATTCCTTTTCTTCATTCTCACTCTCTTTTCTTTTCATTCAATTCAATTTCTTTTTGCTTTTCATTCAACTCAACTTCTCTCTGTATTAATTCTTTCGATTTTAGGAACATTTTTAGAAGTCCAGTCATTGGCGCTTCCATTATCAGGTAGAAAGGCAGTGCCAACATTACTGACATCACAACCACTCCGAAATAGACGATAAGCTGAAATTAAAATAAATATTTATTAACTTTTTTATTACTTAAGGGTGACAAACAAGCGTACAGTCTAAATGATGATATATGGATGCTGTTGCCCGTAGACATCTAAATCTACTCAACACATCAGGATCAAAATGCAGATGCGCTTTGACCCTTAAGATCTCAGATGAAGTAAAAAAGGGAGATATCGAACCTAGAATAAGAAACTGTAACCGATGTTATAACTTTGTGTGAGTCGAGAAGTGTTGCCACTTTTTTTCAAAAGTCCCTGATAACCGAGATAAATACTACAAATATAAGAGTAATGTGCGATGCGAATGCGAAAGTATATTTGTCTGTTTTAATAAACTTCAACAATTTGACAATTCAAAAAAAGATGATGAACGTAAGAGACATCTCTAGATCATTTAAAAGTCTTCTTGATAGATTGTCCAGTGAACATGTCAACATCGATAAAACGTAAATAATATAAAACATGTTTATTATAAAAAAATAACTTAGTACTAAAAATGGTAAAAAACTATTTGGAATAAAAAATAAATTTCCATGGAATTAAAAATATACTTTTCTAGATGAAAAAAAGTATATTTTAGTAAATTGAAAATAGAACAAACTCCAGCACGGGGCACAAAGGAGTGTTCTAAATTGTACACCGGGTAGGAGAGATATGAAGTATCAATCATTACAAAAATTCACGGATTATTGCTCCGCTTACCTCCAACAATTTTAGTTGCGAGTGGGATTTCACCCCCCCCCCCTCCCCAGAATACGCGGGGCAGCCTAAGCATCCACGCTCAGGAAGAGTAAAGAAGCTTAGTCGTGGATGCTCAGCGAGGGATTCTCCGTCACCAAGGGTGAGGGTACCCTCCTGGGGTAATTTTTATTTGATTTCGCTACGATGTTAAGGGAGACGAGGAATACGGCCTCCGGCCACCTACATTTACCAAACAAAACGCAGAGGTAAACCTCTACTTCACGCTGGTATTCTATGAGGTCGTGGTACCAACCCGGTTCGAGCCGGCCCATCCGTGCGACAGCAATAGCCCCGTCGTGGCTCTACCACTGTCAAGTCAAGAGGATGGCTGCCAATTTGGTTTATTTCAGCTCAGTCTTATGACAGCTACCTTTCATTCATATCTTATTAAAATATTCGTTAGTAGCCTAAAATCACAAATATTTTTTGATTGTAAAATAGTTTGTAAGTACTCAAAAATTAAAACAGAAACATCAGCGACTTAAAAAATATAACATTTACCTTGACTTCAATTTAATGTAACAATTAACATAATAAACACAATTAATTAAAAAAATATGCTGACTTCCATTTTTGTAAATTACTAAATATTATTTACCCAAATCTCGGACCATAAGAAATAAGAAATACTGGCAATATTCTTCTGTTACGTAATCTCGAAACATTGGCATTCGTATTTCGAATAACCTTCAAAATTGTGTTAGAATTACAAAATAAAATATAGTTAAATGAGTGTTTACGAGTGTAAAGATATTGCTTCAGACGTTAGTTCACTTTAGTATTGTTTTTGCACCATTTAACTATACAGCACGGCATTTTGTAGGCAACTTTACTACATGACGCCCCGGGAAGTACTAACGAAAATAAGCGTAGTTTGATGCATGTGTGTGGGTGAACGCGTGTGCTTACATAACGAAGCGGAGTTTTTGGCTTCACCAATAACAAAGGCCGCGCTGTATCTTTTTTTACTTAAGCCTATGATCCATAAGATAATTCATTACCCCACCTCTTCTCGTGGGTGTCGTGAGAGGCGTCTATTGGAAACGCCAAAGATGGTCCATGGCCCAAACGGCACTGAAAATTTCGGGAATCAAGTAAGTGACACAACATTACTATTTAAACATGTATTTATTACTTTTCGAAGTATTCTCCGCGAAATTTGACACATTTTTCCATACGATGGAACCAATCATTGAAGCAACCATTCCATTCGGAAGTTGGGGTCTCCAAAATGGCCGTTTTGTAGGCGTCCACAGCTTCTTCAGGTGATGATAATCTCTGTCCACGCAATTTATTCATTATTTTAGGGAAAGTATAGAAATCATTAGGGCTTAGGTCGAGGCTGTACGGCGGATGGTCTAATAATTCTATGTTTTCTTGCTCTAAAAACTCTTTTGTTCTGTGTGCGGTGTGAGAACTCGCATTGTCGTGATGGAGGATGATGCAGCGGTTGCAGTTCCCTTTACGGAGTTCAGAAACGACCTGTGGCAAACAAATGCTAGCATACCATTCTGCATTAACCGTTCTTTGTCCCTCAAGAGGAATAGTCGTAACATGTCCGGTTTTGGAGACAAACGTGGCCACCATTTTTTTTGCAACACTCCGTGAACGAACAATTTTTGTTGGCTTTAACTCATTTTCGAACACCCAAACTCGTGACTGGTTTTTTGTTTCGGGTTCGTACGCATATATCCAGGATTCGTCACCTGATACGATGTTATATACAGCATTTGAGGATCCTGCGTGGAATCTTTCAAGAGTTCTGACGCACCAAGTATCCATCGGGAAAACAACTTTTTTATACCTAATTGTTCATGCAAGATTATTTGTATTTGACTCATGCCAATGTCTAAAGTTGCCTGAATTTCGCGGTATGTCACATGTCGATCTTCCTCAATCAGCTTACGCACAGCATCAACGTTTTCTTGGGTAACTGCAGTTTTTGGACGACCTTGACGGGGATCATCACTGAGCTTGACACTTCCACGTTGAAATTCAGCAAACCAGCGATAAATTGTGGCTTTGGATGGGGCTTCATCACCAAATGCAGAAAACATCCGGTCAACACACTGTCTTTGTGTTAAACCACTTCGAAAGTCATAATAAATCATCGCTCTTGAATTTTCTCGAGTCAATTCCATTTTCTCAACGACTAAACAAGTTTGACAAAACCTTGTGACATGACCGAGAATCTTTTTTAAATAAATAAATGGTATTCGATTTTTAAAACCAAGGAGTTTTCAATTAAAAAGATTTTAATATGACAGGAACAGTGGAAATATTCCATTCCCGATACTTTTAGTGCAGCCTATGTAGATGTCGATATAACGATCCTTCTGACAATGTCGCGACTAAGGCAATTATTCCCTACAATAAGAGACGTCTTAGTCCAGCAGTAATAAAGGCCACGGGATTGACCTGCGGTCTCAACGCAGACTAGCCATCTGCGCAAAACAGACCAGAGACAGTAATCCGACACGACTGGAGTGAGATCAGGTGCAGGAATAACGACTTTACGTACATTCCGAGGCACGGGGGTAAAACGCCGTCAGCCTCCTGACTCCGGGCTGCTACTGAGAATTTCATGACAGAAAAACCCAATAACTGATTATGGTCCGACCCGAGATTCAAACCCAGCACCTCATTATCAGCAACAGCATGTACGACCACTGGACCAATGAGGTCGTACGTGACCACTAGACAAATGAGTCAGCAGTAGTGAAGCATGGAGCATGCAACAGTACGGCTGTGAAAGATAAACCACTCCCTACATCCCGTGGGTAAAGTATGAGGCACCACAGTGAAACTGGAACAGGAGATGGACAGCAGTATTTCCTAATAACAATTCAAAATATAACTGCGCTTTGCATATCCGCCCGTCGAGCGAAGCATCTATGGGAAATATCCTATGAGGTAAATAAAATGAGGTAATAGGGTAGGATTACATTCAGTAGTAGATTTTATATAATGTAATGATGTTTATGATGATGATGTCGAGCAGTGAACTCTTAAGAGCTTATACAGAAGAGGAACAGTAGTAATAACCTGGACAAATGACTAAAGTTTCACATACCATGTTATAGAAAGACACAAGACTGAGTTGTGTTCGTATGCCAAGGAGCACGTGTATAAAGTTCATGTGCACCAAGTAGACGCTATAGGAGAGTCTGCTAGGCACCAACCAGCCATCCCATTCAAAGAAGCTGCAGAAACTCTCTGAAACCATAAACAACATATTAATTACAAAAGTACGAGTTACAGCTTATTATTGTACATATTCCCCTGCTATGCCCTCGCCTCCTATTTTTCAGGAGATTTTGTAAAAGAGAAGAGTCCACTGCGCTTCCCTAAATGTATTGGCCCATTTTTTAAATATTTTGTAAAAGATGTACTCGTAAGACATCCTTTTATCGCAATACATTCTTTTAACAGACCAATTATACGTAAATATACTAGGAAAAAACTAAAAAGCCTACAAAATCACGTATCGTTGTCGCCATAGACACTAAATAATACACGCCCTCGTAGTTTATCACTGCTCTAAGATTGACTGGCAGTTTTTAGCATTAAGTTTAAATAAATAATAATAATAATTAAGTTTAAATAAATAATAATAATAAGGCGTAGGGAAGTGACGACCCCATCGCCCGCTGACGTAACGGTTATGTGACAAAACCGCTACGTCAGCGCAGTCAGTCAGCACCTTGCCAAGAGGTGTTAGTGCCGTGCCTCGGCAAAAATTGAAGGTGCAAAGGCCCGCTTGTGCACATGGCCTCACCATGAAACGGCGCCGGGTCTGGGCGTCTCCCGCTAAATGACGCCCACCACTATGGATGATGGAATACGGAAGAACGCGCAAAGGGCCGCTGCCTGGAGGTCGCCAGGGCGCGTCTGGAGCTGGCGCTGGACGCGGCAGCATGCGAACCGCCAGCCGAGCGCGAGGTGCTGCACGACCACCCAGCAGCCCCTCGCATCCATCATCCCCACCAGCTGGCTTGGTGTCGGCAGGGTCTTCGCGGGCCCAGCAATCGACACCCGCCTCTGGTGGAGTACGCCGCATGCGTTGGACAACCCAGATGAACAGCAACGCATTGCGGGCGTATTTTGGGGCGAAAGGGGGAGAAACTGGATGTTTGGCGTATCGGGCTAGGATGCATCGTCTTTTTGCTGAGCTGGAGCCATCTGTAACCGTCACAGAGCAAAACCTGGCAGACCGAGTTCGGTATATCTTGCGCTCAAATATATTTGATGTCGCCGAACTCGAACGGCTACGACGTGAGGCTGTTCCCTCGTCGGATGAGAATGCTACGGCTGAGGATGCGGCGCCACAAATGGTAGAGCAACCCGCAAACGTGGATGCCGCCGTGAATACCCCAGTTGTGGTTGATTCAAACGATGATGGAACAGTCGCCCAGGAACTGGAATTAGAGCATATGAGGAGTACATTGGAAGAGGCGATTGTGGAAACGCGCAGTACGCCTCTCGAAAATCGACCGCGACTTCCCCGCATAGCCCTAAGCAAGCGGAATCGGGCTGTCGTGAGGACTCTGAACCCAATGCTGGTGACCTATTTGGAAGCCAGCCGGGACCTTTGCGAGACGGACTCAATTCTTTTTGGCGCCGCGCTGGCAGTCTGCCGTATCATAGGCGCCAAGGTTTCCACGGCTGGACGCGCTACTGGCCATAAAAGCGCTATCCCAGCATGGAGAAGAAGAATTGAGGAACGTATCGCAAAGGCTAGAGCTCTCATCGGCAGACTGATATGCTTCAGATCAGGCAACAACAGGCCAAGAATTGTGCGCACCGTCAGGATGGCGTTTGATGGGACAAATGTCTGTTTGTCCCAGCCGAATATAGCGCAAAAACTGACGGAGAGCATAGATGATCTGAAGCAGAGAATCGCTGCTTGGGGAAAACGGATTCGGCGATATACCGAGAGGTCGACACGGTTCAACCAGAATCGTCTCTTCCAGAGTGATCAGAAGAGGCTCTATGAATCATTGGAGCGACCAATGGTAAGTGGAACGGGTCCAGCACCGAATCAGGCCGACACTGTAGCATTCTAGCGCGGCCTGTGGTCAGAGCCCGTAAACCACAGCGAGGGCCCTTGGACGGAAGTTGTGGCGAGTCAGTGTGCGGGTATTACGCCCATGGACCCCGTCATCATAACACCGGATGACGTAGCTGAGGCGGTCCGTAGGGCCCCGAACTGGAAAAGTCCGGGGCTTGACGGGCTGCATCACTACTGGCTGAAGGGGTTCATGGTGTGTCACTCTGTGCTTGCCCGACAGTTTCAAGATGCTCTCAACCAGAAGTCGCTCCCAAGCCTCTTCACTACTGGGATCACTCATTTGGTTCCTAAAGACCAGGGTACCACAGACCCGAGCAAATACCGCCCATCACGTGTCTACCGACCATATACAAGACACTAACATCCATTTTGAGCGCGAGAATCACTTGTCACCTGGACTCAAATCAGGTGATGTCGCGCGCTCAAAATGGATGTCGGGGCAGTGGTCGTGGAACCAAGGAACCACTCCTCATTGACGCGGTCATTGGCAATGTGGTGAAACGCAACCGTCGGAACTTCTCCGCCGCCTGGATAGACTACAGAAAGGCATTCGACTCGGTGCCCCATACATGGCTAAAGAGAGTCCTCGAGCTGTACAAGATAGACTGTACAGTTAGAGACTTCCTTGAGCAGTGTATGGGGCAGTGGAGTACGATCCTTTGTCATCTGGGCGAGCGAATGATGGCTGCGGAGAACCACATAAGGATAAGAAGGGGTATCTTCCAGGGCGATTGTCTGAGTCCAATCTGGTTCTGCCTCTCTCTGAACCCTCTCAGTACCTTACTGGAGGGCTCCGGGAGGGGATTTCAGCTACGGAAAGGAGGGACAAAAGTGACCCACCTTTTCTATATGTATGACCTCAAGTTATTCGCCTCCAGTCGCTCCCATCTTATGGAATTTCTAAACATCACTTGTGAATTTAGCGATTCCATTGGAATGGAGCTTCGGACGGATAAGTGTGCGGTCCTCCATGTTGAAAGGGGAAGGGTTGCTAACTCTGAGGGCGTAGACTTATCTATGCCCGTCAACTTAAGGACCCTTTCCTTAAGGATTTAAACTTAAGGATCTTTATATTATATTACATAAACATATACATTTAAAATATCTTTAGTTTTTTTTTTTTTTTGCATTAAATCTGTCTGACAGCTGCTCGTATGTCTTAGATTAGTGGTCTCGACAGAATAACAGCGCTGCGGCTCTTTGCTGTAGCATAATGCTGAGTCGGGTCCTTTTCGTTGCTGCAATCCAACATAAATTTAAATACTTTTTTATAAATACTTTTTACTATTAATTGTTTATTTTTTTGTGTTGAGTTAATTGTTTGTTTTTTTTTTTATGTGTTTGTATTAGCGTAGCAACGAATAAAGTTATTTTCTTTCTTTCTTTCTTTCTTTCCCTTTCCGAGGCTGAAACATACCGATACCTGGGTATGTCACAAAACATCGGTATCGATGAGACTGGTATGAAACAGTCAATTTGCGACGTGTTTTATGCACGCTTGACCAAAGTGCTTAACAGCCTTTTGTCCGGTGTGAATAAGGCACACGCATATAACGGCTGGGTCATGCCTGTCCTCATGTATACCTTTGGCATACTCAGGTGGACTCAGACTGAACTTAACGCCCTGGATAGAAAAGTCCGCGCTACCATGACGTCCCATAGGATGCATCATCCGAGATCGTCGGTAATGAGGTTGTACTTGTCGCGGAAGCATGGTGGTCGTGGCTTCTTGAGCGCGCTCACCATGCATAATCGCGAAGTGTGCAGCCTCCGTGATTACTTCCTGGCGAGATCGGATGATCCATTCTATATGGACGTCATTTCTTGTGATAAAGGATTTACCCCTCTATCCTTAGCCAACGAGCAATGGCAAGACCCGGCAGTGCAGACAATTTCCGACCGAGAGACCGTATGGAAGGAGAAGGAGCTCCACGGGAGGTTCTACAAGGCTCTACATGAGCCTTTCGTAGACACAGTAGCCTCCCTCCACTGGCTACGCTTTGGTGATCTCTTCGGGGAAACCGAGGGTTTTGTCTGTGCAATACAGGATCAGGTTATTAAGACCAACAACTATCGGAGATACATCCTAAAGGATGGCACCGTCGACATCTGTCGAGCTTGTCGCCATCCCGGTGAGTCACTTAGGCATGTTATCTCCGGTTGTTCGGCGCTTTCTAACTCTGAGTACTTGCACAGGCACAACCTAGTAGCCAGAATTCTACACCAGGAGCTCGCTCTGAAATACGGTCTCGTGGACCGGAAATTGCCGTACTACAAGTACTTGCCGGAAGCCGTGCTCGAAAATGATCGCGCCAGGCTCTATTGGGACCGGGCCATCATCACAGACAGGACTATTCTTGCGAATAAGCCTGATATTGTGCTGATGGACCGGGCACAGTCAAGGATATTTTTGGTCGACATTACCATTCCGTATGACGAGAACCTCGTGAAAGCCGAAACAGACAAGCAAACAAAATATCTGGACCTGGCTCACGAGGTGACCGACATGTGGGGTGGTCTGCCGACCGAAATTATTCCTGTAGTCGTCTCTGCAAACGGGCTAATCCCAGTCAGCCTCTCGGGTCATCTGAGGCGGCTGGGACTACGTGGCGGACCGCTCCAGGTTCAAATGCAGAAGGCGGTGCTCCTCGATACCGCCCGCATCGTCCGCCGGTTTCTTTCCCTTTCCCCCTAACCCTCGGCCGTTTGGTCTCCCCTGCCGAGGGCCTCCATCTGGTTGGGCTTTTATTTATTTATGTACTTTTATATTTATTTTATGTTATTGATATTTATGTATATTTATTTTTTCATTTTCATTTATAATTATGTATTTATAGAACCCAACCAGATGAGAAAACTATATAGATACCCCATAATAATTAAATTTTATAAATAAAATAATAAATAATAAATTTCAGCCACGGCGGCCTGCCTCAACGAATGCTAGCCAACGGCGTAGGACAGGATTATAGTGCCCAAGTATATGCGCAAGCATAGGTACACTCTCTATTCCCTTACTCTCATAATCCGATTAGACGGTAAACCGACACGACCGGAGAGAGATCAGGCGCAGGACAACAGCTTTACGTGCTCTCCGAGGCACGGGGGTGTGACTGCGCCAACTTCCTGCCTCCGGGCAGCTACTGAGAATTTCTTGACAGAAAAAACTCAATAATTGATTTTTGGCCCGACCCGGGATTCGAACCCAGGACTTCATGATCAGCAGTCGCACTACTACAACCGCTAGACTAACGAGGCAGTCAAGTTTACTCGACAAAGTTAGTTTCTTTAGGTACTCGACAATTGAAAATATTTTTACTGATTTTTAAGCCAGCGCTTGATTACCATCCCACATGAGGGTAAGTGACGATATAGCACACTAAAATAAATTAACAAAAGCCTACTTATACTTGCCTTGAAGACAAGAGCCTACTCATTTTTAAGAGGCCGGCAACACCTGGTGTTGCAATTGTTCATGGGCGACGGTAATCACTTACCATCAGATGAGCCGTATGTTCGTTTACCCCCACTCCTATAAAAAAATCTATATTGTAACCGGATGGAAAGACATACGTTACGGCAAATTATCATATGATATTCTATTTTACTAGGTGGTGAGACCCCTTTTCTGCCCAGGGGCCATCTGGATGAAAATGTTATTGACTTTCGAATGTAGTTTTGTTAGCTTTTGTGAAGAAATAAGGAATGACACTTTCAATTAGGAGTGGTCGTTACAAAACGTAACTAGTTACTGAAACTATCTATTCACACAATAGCGGGTAGCGGGTTACTGCAGTGCAACGAAACTATCTATTACAGTAGACGTTTTACTCAGTAACACGATTCACGTTTCACGGAATCACGAACGAGCGATCAGTAAAAATAACAAAACGTTTATTCGGCTAATTTCGCGACGCATCGGCGACGGCTTCGGCTGTTGAAGTAGAAGCACATGAGTAAAGAAACCGACTCTTTACGCTGTGGTAGAAGTACCACCGGTCGTCGAATGTCGAGTGAGCGCGGGTGCTTTTGCATTCGACCAATGACTCTATTCCCTTTGTATAGATGCGATATTAGAAATGAGAAAGTAGGTGTGCATGTTTTTAACAAAAAATATTTCAAATTCCATAATTTAAGTGGTCTTGGCCCGGTTTAAATTAGTCTTGTTTTTAAGTTTAATGACACGGTTTGTTTTTACTTTTTAGGCGCGTTTGTTAATACTTTTATTTTCTTTTTGTGCAATAATAATAATATTTTTAGTAAAATAAGAACTAAATACAATTGTATATATTAGTGTTCATAATTTTTTATCAAACCGTGCGAAATGATTTAACAAATAAATTTTAACCATTAACACCATATCTAATTCTATACAAAACGGTAACAAACAAGGTTTCTCGTGAAACGGACATCATTTCATTTGCAACGTTTTTCAATTAAACACGTCGTGAAACACTCTACTGAAGCCGCTATTAAAATAGAGTGTTTCAAAACCCTCTATTAAAATAGAGTGTTTCAAAACCCTCTATTAAAATAGAGTGTTTCAAAAGCAGCTATTGATATTCGATAGTTTCGTTTCGTTACTCAAAAAAGCCGCTAATACCCACCGCTACTTTCAATAGGTAATTTATCAACGAAGCTTATATAAATAAATATTCTAGCCTCTTCTTAATTCGTTATCGATTTTATATACTGGCAGTGAAGTGTTTAGCAATAAATGTTAGTATTTCTACATGTTGTTTATGACATAATATATTATATGCAATTGATTACCCTCCATGTTTTTTTTTACAGAAATTCAATCTTTTATTCCTTTCATGTATATGTATATGTTTAACATGCGGTACCGAGAGAGCACACTTCTTCTTATTTCATTTTCATTCTAATACTAATGCTAACAGTGGTAGAGCCACGCGGCAGCTTTGCTGTTGCACGTATGGGCTGGCTCATACCGGGGTGGTACCACGACCTCACAGAATACCGGCGTGAAGTGGA